TGTTAAAAAAACTTCGCTGAATTCATCCTAGAGAATAAGGATACGTCTGATCCGATTGTTAAGAAATATTAATAGTTATGATTGTTAATTTATTATTAATAATATTAATGTAATATTAACTTAAACTAATTTTTTAAATACCTTAACAGCCTGTTCAAAGAAAAAAAATTATAAATTGTTAAAATAAGTCAAAATAAACCCTAAAATTTTTTGAACAAAAGTGCACTTTGAATGGTGACTTAATTTATAAAAACATGTATAATAAAAAAAATATAAAGATTTATTTTAGTATTATATTATCATAATTAAGATTATTTTATATAAATTTATATTTTAAATATTTAAATTTTAAATAAACTATTTTAAAAAAGATTTTTTTAATATATATTTAATATGAATTTTTTAAAAAATTATATAAGTATTATTCTATTCAACTCATTTAAAAATTTTAAATTAAAAAGTGAAAATAAATGCTCTCGACAAATGAAAAGATGCACTGGCTCCAATCTTTCATACATTTGAAAAAGAGGAAAAAAAAAGAAGAAGAGAGTTGTTTCTTGCAAAGAGACCGTTCTCTTTTAAAATAGAATTTTATTAGAGTCTTAATGGATTAAAATTTTTATCTTTATTTTCTTTTTAAGGGTTAAAGCCAACTATAGTTTCTCTACTTTCAATTTTCACTCATTATTCTCCTTATAATTGCAAATCGCTCAAAATCCTCCCTTTATTCTTCCAAACCATAATACAGTCCTCCATCTACTTTAACTTTTCATTACTTTTATTTCCCTTCCCTAAGACCACACTAACACCGTTTATAACTCCCATCTCACGGAGACATCTTGGATCATTAAGTGTGATAGTTTATTTTTATTTTTATTTTTTGAATTGTGTTTGTGAGTACAAAAATCATATATGGCTTAAGTACTTAACTAATTAAAATAGTAGCCTACCATGTACCTTCCCATGATCAATCAACTAAAGCTAGGGATAGATGGATTTTTTTATTTTTTTTTATTTTTTTGCTATTGTGTTTTAAAGTGTTAAACATTATTTGTTAGTAATGTGTTATATTATAATTTTAAGTTTTGTCTATTATTTTGAAAATATATAAAATATTAATTAAAATTAATCAACAATCTTATAGTTATAATGTCACATAAGATTATAAGTTTATAATCATTATATAATATTAAATGAATGTGATGATGTGATATATTATTAAATAAATAAATACATATGATATGATAAGTGAACTTAAATAAAACGAGTCAATTCTATAATAATATATTATAAGTTTATAATGTTATATGATATTATAATTATATTATTTTTTAAAATTAATAAAAGTATATAAAAATTAATTAAAATTGATTAATAATAATCAAGCTGTATTTTAGATAAAGTGTTGTATAAAAAAATTTATAAAAAGCATGGTTAAACAAAATCTTAATATTATATTATATAAAATTATTATATTTTGGTTAAATACCCAATTTGATCCCTCAACTTTTATTTTTAAACCAAATCTATCCTTGAACTTTAAAGTACCAAAAATATCCTCAAACTTCAATTTTTAAGACCAATTTAGTCCTCCTATCAACAAAATTGACAATTGGCACATTAAACTACCAAAAAATCACACCTTTTTTAAAAAATAATGATGCAGAAAAATAAAGGGGCATGAAGTGATGACATGGCATATTTTCCTTCCCATTGATGCATTTAGGCATTTTTAATCTTACATAGACAAATAAAAACACACATTCATTTAATAAATTAGATACTTCATCTTCTTCCTCCTTTCTACTCTCTCAACGCACTGCCTTTGCCGCTGCCTCTACAAACACCCTCTTTAGCTCCTTAAATAGAGCCAATCTCGAGATATGACCTTTTACGGGATTGAAACTAGCACTTCAAAATTTGTTGAGAAAATTAGATAACAATAAAAAAAGGTAAAGAAAACCCTACTTATTTACTAATCTCGTAAATCCTTTGCTGCCATTCATATTCAAACCCACCATTGCACATCCAAGATCCAACACAAGAATGAAAATGAGAAAAATCCATGATTTTTTTTTTTTAAATCTTAGTTGTTGATCTAGCTTAATTTTACCAATTTGCAAAATAAGAGAGGGATTGAACCAAACATTTAGAAGGACATAGCATGTATAGGTAGAAAGATTGGAACAAAAAATTATTTGAAACCCAAAAAATTCAAGACTACTTTTTTTATTTTCAATTGCATAATAAATCCCTCGTCTTCCTAGGTTAGTCAATCTCAAATTCCTTTACCTCAACATTCTAGCTATGTGGATCTTTGTGAGGAAGAAATTGAAATGGTGGTGTTGGTCCCAATGTTGGTTCAAAGGAAGGAGGTTGTAGTGATAAGGGAAAACGAGGGGGTTTTCATGGAAGGTTGAGGGATTAAGTAGTATGGTGTTCTTGGGATCCAAGAGTTTAGATCTAGGGTGGTGGCTGAGGCCAAAAAAACAAAATTGAAAATATTCAAAACTGATAAAAAAATAATTTTTTTATCATGTACCTTTAAAGCATAGGTTAAGGGTACAATAAACGCATTCTTTTATAATTAATTAACAAAAAAACAAAAATTAACTTGAAGTTAATCAATTGACTAATTAAAACTGTTCACATGACAATGACGTTGTAAGTAAAGTTAACTTTTTTTTAAAATGTAAATTAATCGTAAAAAGGTGCATTTATTGCACTTTTAACTTGTGCCCTAATGGTATAGGTTAGACAAACCCTTTAAAAAAAGAAAAAAGGTAGATCTAATTGGGATAAAATCAATGGTTACTAGTGAGTGATGAGTACCCAAGCCACATGATGAGTAGCTAGATTTTCTAGGTTCTTTGCTATGGAGAAGCAAGGGGAATAGATGGAGTGGTAAGAAGAGAAAGAACAAGAACAAATGTGAATGGAGGAAAGGAAAGAAATGAAGCAAAAGAGAGGAAAGAGAAAGAAGGAGGAAGGGAGGAAAGGTAATGGGTCAATAGTGGTGTCGGTGCTACTATCAACGTTGGAGAAGACAAAGAAAAAGTGAAGAATCAAAGAAAAGAATCAAAGAAGGGAGAAGGGATTGAGTTATAGTATAAGAGGAGAAAGGTTAGGAATGAAAGAAGATATGGGGAGGAGTAAATGTTTATTTTAATGATAACTTATTTTATTATTTATTTAAGCTACTATTTTTTCCATGTCATTTAGACATGTCCTTTAGTCCACATAAGTAAAATTTTTGAGTGAGCATGCCATGTAAGTAAGAATCATGAATTTATTTTTATGTGATATTTTAAATAAAGAAATATGAATTTTTCTTTTTTGTAGTTAACATTCCAACTCAATGCTTAACTGACAAAAGGATTAAATTGGTCTCAAAAATTAAAGTTTGAAGATATTTTTAGTACTTTTTAAAGTTTAAGGATGAAATTGGTTTAAAAATAAAAGTTGAGGGGCTCAATTATGTATTTAACTTTATATTTTCAACCATATAGGTTTGGTTTGATACTGCTGCACTGTATTCATAAATTTTTTTTTCTGTTTTTTACTACCCTAAAAATATTTAAAATATTAATTTAAATTAATAAAAGTATATAAAAAATTAAGTTAAAATTTTAATTTAGTCCCTTAACTTTTAGATTTATACTAAACTTATCCTTTAACTTCAAAAATACCAAAATTATCCCTAAACTTTAATTTTCGATACCAAAATAATTCTTGAACTTTGAACATTAAACACTAGTACTAACTTAGTTCTTGAACTTTGAAGACAAATACCAACTAAGTTCTTAAACCTTGATTATAAATACCAAGTTGATCTTTCAATTTTCACTACATATCAGTTTAATGTGTAAATTAAAATATATTACAATGACAAAATATGGCTACTTGATTCTACACATTATTAGTATTTTAAAAAAGAACTAATTTTATGGTAAGCGAGGTTGTCAAAATCAAGAGTTTAGGTAAAATCGAAATCGTAAAATCAAATCGGTAAAATCGAGAGTTTACTAAATTAATTTAAAATTTTTATATTACTAAAATTTAATATCAAATGTTTAAATTTAAAATTTATCTAA